TACTATTATGGTTATCACTTTTGCAACGAAAATATAAAGCTTTTCTTTGCTTTGACATTTTGTATCTTCTCAAAACCATAAAAATGATTCGCATCATAAATGACATACATTTCTAATACTTTTCGTTTTGCTGTTCTAAATCATTTAGCTGCATATATTTTTCCTTACGTTTGACTGCAAGTTTTCCGACATTTGAGGAGAGTAGAAAATTCGACAATTACACACTTTTCAGATAAGCTTTCTCAATATCTGACCTTCATGCTTCGTGATTTCCGTGGTTGCAACAAAATCCTCTTTGGTTGTTTCTGCTTGAACGGGTGACGGGGACTCAACAATGCTTGTTGCCTCCGTTGATGACTCGATTATCGTTTCGGTTGTTACTGTAGTTCTAGGCGGAATGGTGACCTCGCAACTGCTGCTGCTCACACCGTACTCCGAGTCAGCCTTGCATGTGTAAATACCTAAAAGGGGTTGGAAATGAGCTGTATTGCCTAAGGTAGCTTCTTTAAATGTCATGTTACAAACACTACCATTATCAGCTGGTGAAGGTTCGTGAACTGTGAGGATCAAAGCTCCATCAGAGAATCTATGAAACTCGTATTTGTTGCTTGGCTTGATCTCTACATCGTCCTTCCACCATGTTACAGTAGTTTGGATAGTGCTAAAATTATGTGAGGTCTACTAAGATTTAGAATTATCACATCTAAGTTGGCTGTGGCAGAACCACATTATCTAGAAAGCCACAGTTTACAGTTGTTGCATTTAAGAAAAGTACAGTACCTGCGGATTCTACAAAGCAGTCTGAAGTAATTAATTTCATATGCTCCATCTGTTTCTGCAGTCAGCTGTTCAACAAATTTCGGTGGCATCGCTACCACTGTGGATTCGTCAACTGCACCTGATATTGTCTCACTTGCGGAGGCCTCTTCACGGTCTTTTTGGTATGTAACACCTGAAGCAGACGTATCCTAGCCCTATTAAATTAGATTCCGTGAGAATCAAACCTTCAATGTTGATGTAAGCAGCTGTTTCTGCTTTGCCATGAGGGTTTGTTGCTGTGCATTTATACAGACCACTATCCTCAGGATAGACTTCAGGATTTAAAAGCTCACAGATACCTCCTGGTAGAACCTGTAGAAAGCCCATTGAATTATAATCAAGTAAAAAAGAGCACAATTCTGTATCAATCCATTTACAGTTACTTTGCAGAAGGAGCTGCAAACAGAATCAATTCTATCCAAAAATACCAAAATGTTTCAAAAAATTTAATTATTTCATATCATCGTTTTTAATTCTTAAAATGGTAAAATCTATTTGAAAAAGCAATGTTGGACTGTTGATCTTTTCAACAACTGCTAAAAACGGAACAGTTCCTCTCTCTCTCT